GCATCAGCCAAAGCATTCTGCTTTCCCGGCTTATACTTCACCTCGAAGTTATATTCCGTAGAGAAGGATAGCCATCTAGCCATCCTCTGCGAGAGGTGAGGCGACTGAGTCGCAGTGCTTGGGGAGGCATGATCTGTATAGATCACAAACGGCTTGGAGCCGAGCAGGTGGACCCTATTTGACAAGTGCATACTTCATCGCAAGTAGCTCCTTGTCATGAACTGGTTAGTTCTTCTCTGCAGCTTTGAGCTGTCGAAATTCGAACGCGATCACCCGATCTCGCCCCTCGACGTCTGCTTGCAGCAGTGCACAGCCGATGGCAAAGTCCGAAGCGTCACAGACGACGCTGAAAGGACGATCGGGGTCTGGCAGCGCCAGTATCGCTGCATGCAGCAGGCTGTCTTTGAGTCAAAAGCCTCCTGATGTTTGGTGTTCCAACGCCATTTCGCATCCTTTTAAGAAGATTGGATAATAGCAGGGCCATTTCTGCGTAATCTACGCTGTACTTGTGCAAGTAGTTGGCGAGATCAAACCACTTACGCAAGTCCTTTTGGTTCTTTGAAACCGGCCAATCTACAATGGCCTTGACCTTAGCGGAATCCGCTCGAAGGCCACGCTTCCAAATGAAGCACCCTATAGGGGAATCTCTTTTGCGCCATAGATGCACTTGTCTGCATTGGCGTACAGTTTGTTCGTGCGCATGCATTCGAGCACCGCTCTTAAATGGGCGATGTGGTTCTCCTCATCTGTCCTCCCGTGCTTCGCACGACTATGAACGAAAATGTCGTCAAGTTTGTGCATACGCTCTGTGGGGCCTATACAACTGCGTCACAAAACGATCAAATGTTGCTGGCGCATTTGACAGCCGTTGGGCCATCACCAGCCACTCTGAGCATGCCGCTCGAAGTGCTCACCGCTGTCAGCGGACTATCACTCGGTCTCATGAGCACTTGGTAATACCCATCGACCAAGTCGAGTGCACTGTACTTCGTACATCCCCCCATGTTGTTCAGAAGAACATCCTTTCTAGCAAGCGGCGTCTGTGCCGAAGTGGTGGCAGCA